GTTCTTTCAGTGCTGCAGTGTTTCTCAAACTATTTCTGCAGCCACAACTGCAACCCCATTGAACATCTCAGGGGGTGGGACAGGCTGAAAGGGGTCTCTGAGCTGCACTGAAATCAGGTTCAGCACCCACAACATGGTCAGCTTCATAATGTGCTGTAAACCTAAACTGTGAGCCCAGAGGGTCTTCTGGCATCCTTGCACATGTGGTCCTTCTCCTACACCACTCATTGGTGATACATCCTCTCTACCGTGCTCTCGTGTACCCACTTGGGAGCCTTGGGGTGCTGGGTAGTGACCTTCAAAGCTACTCATCAAGGACATGTCTGGCCTGCTGTGTTCCAGAGACCCTTTGCAGCAGGCAAACAGGACTTGCAGCTGACAGAAGGCGTTTTGCCAGGAACCAAGGGATAAAGATGTGCTTTCCAAACATGTCCAGCCACGGGCCTGACCCTGTGATGTCAAGGGTCGGACTCTTCATCACCTTAGGGAAAATGGATTCATTTCAAAGCAAAGGTAAGGCAGAAATCTGTGAATCCTTCAACCCCTCTGTCTAAAGGCATTTTCACTACACACTGCTAAGGAATATATTCCCCCTGTTCATATATTCCCCCCCAGTTTTGCTGTTTTTCCTGTGGAACAAGGAGGGATTAATCCAGCTGCCATCTTCCGGAAACGGCACACACTGTACACCATCCCCACAACAGGAGTCCACTATGCTGAAAATCAGATTCAGGCCTTATGATAACCTGAAGAAGCTGTTTTTGAATCAGTTATACAGCTGTTCAGATGACTAGAGAGGATTTTGTATAATTTGTCCCAGTAAAATCCCATTTTTTAGCACAAGTAAAATGTGGTCAGGATCCCCAATATTCAATACTTTCTTATGAATATTGCCTCACAGCATTTCTCCATAACAAAGATATTAATTTAGCATATTTGTTTCAGTGGCAACTTAAAGAACTGAGTGTATGCATTTCACAGAGTCAGTTTTCCTAATTATTATCTGACATGTTTCCTAATTATTTTGACTCAAGTTTCTATTCCTTCTGAGAGGATACTGCAAAGAGATAATCCACTCTAAATATTTTCCCTCCCAGATTATTTCTAGTTCTTAGTGTTGGAAACTGATCCTTCATTAGGAACGGATCTAGAAGCTACTGAAGTTTGTTTTTTTTCCCGTATGCTTTCAGTGAGCACTGTATTGGATTTGAAAGTAAATTGAATTGATGAATTTGTCTGGAAATGGTGAAACTTCTCTTGTTCTGCAGCTTAGCCCTAAATGTGACGACATTTGACATTTGACTTGCAAAAGTAGCAAAGGTATCTTCAAGAGGCATAAAAATCTTCTTTTTCTCTTCGTGTTAAACTAGAGAAGATTAAATTTTAATGCAAAATCTGTAAGGGGTATTTATGGAGAAAGCATGTCCTCGCTCAGATTATTTTCCCAGGCAGAAGTTCCTCTAGGCAGCCTTTGGTTTTCTAGTTTTCTACAACATTGTAAGACACAAACTTCTATGTCAAAAATAATTAGAACAAACTACTTTCAAAGTCTGGAAGAAACTAATTTTCCACAGATACTATCTTATAGATAATGAAGTACTGTATTATAAATAATGAAAATTAGTATATTAAACAAAGTTATTTTCATAGCACTTTGTGTAATGCAAAGCTCATTCTTTGTACAAAGCTTTTGTTTCTTTGTTCCTTGCTGTGTTCTAATTGCAAAGGAATAAGGATTAGAAAACTGTGCATATACATATACATCCACACATGAAATATATTTTTTTGTGTGTTTAGAGATATATTTCCAAATACAGAAATGTCATAATTGGACAGAGTCAGATCTTTTGAAAAGTTCATGAAATGTGACTTCCAGGTGCAGATGCAGACTCCTGTTGCTGAGTCAAAGATACCAATTCAGCCCAGTTAGAGTCCTTTCCTTTAAATGCCCACGCCTTTTCAAAGCTTAGTTACTGATTCTTCCACAATGTTTTTAGTAATGTCAGCTATGAAAGGCTGTAAGTTTTGGCTGGTGCTTCATGTTTGGTCAGCAGCTCCTGTGCCACCAATGTCAATGGCAGCTTTACACAAAGATGAAGAGCTGTAGTAGTCCAGCCTTCAGTAGACAAACATTATTTTTCCATCAGCTCTTTCCTTTCAGTATCTCATGCTGGGAAAGAAGGGAATCAAAGTGAGAAAGTCTCAGTGTCTGTGGATGAGGTTCACCCTTACTCCTCACACCTCTGTAGCACATGAAAAAATCTGCCCCCAGAAATATTGTGTAACCTGGAGTTCTCCTCTAGCCTTTATGAATGCTGATATCTCATATCAGATACTCCAAAAGCCTCTATTGCTACACCATCTTTCACCTTTGATTCAGTAAATCACAAGTGATGGCTCTGCTGCCTAAAAAAAATGAGAAAAAAAAAGCAAGAAAGAGTAACAAAGAGAGATCTCTCATCTCCTATTGCACTTTTTTTTTTCACTTTCCTCCTAATGCAATTAGGTTTTTTTAAAGATCTGCTTTATCAATTAGGCTTTATTGCAGCCCCTGACAGCATCTATCCAATGAGAGATGGTTAAACCTTTCTCCTTGAGTACTGAACCTCTCAGGTCCAGCCTGTAACAACAGGATGCCAATGACCTGACTGGATGCTGCTTCCTTTAAAGACATGCTTAAAGCTTTTTAAGCTTTCTTGATAAATTAGAAGTCATCGTAATTATTTTATAGCTAAATGCAAGTAGTTTAAATGCCCTAGGGCTTAATTTTATCTTACTAGCTAGAATTATAACGTGTAGGTTTTCCAATATGTCTGGAAGCTCTTCAGAATTAATCCTGGGTCTCTCTCCTTCCATCCCACTGTGTCTCCTGCTTCATAAATGCTGTTTGTCTGGGATTTATTTTCTAAGCCATTCTTTTTCTTCTTGCAATGGTGTCTTGAAATGAAACTGCTTTAATTCTACTGCTTCCCTGAGTGCAAGGTGACCATTTTTTGAGCCTGGTTTCTCTGCTAACCATACTGAGAATTTGCTTAGGAAGGCCTCCTTCTGTAAGTCCTGCTATTCCTTGTTATTTGACATTTTATCTGCAGGCAGTTTTTTGGCCAGTTTCTGGTGCCAGCCAACTTCTTTGAGAGAACGTTCTTGGATAGCCATCCAGTATCAAACCACCTCTGTGTGAGACAGTTCACAGGCCACTAACCAGCATGCTGAGAACTCTTTTGTGTCATTTGGCCATTCCTAATTGTTGTGCTCAGTGGGCCTTGTCCATTGGCATGCATCTTTTGTATCTAAAATTTAGTTAGATAATTTCAAGATTCACAACTAATTGACTAATTGGCATAAAGTCATAATTTCTCTCTTCAAAAGAGAGAGACAGAGACCTATTTGGAATTTGTGCACCGATTATTCTCATGAATGGACCAAAGTTTACATACAGGTCAACAGCAGAGCAATCTTCCCATGGATGCTGTCAGCAAACCTCAAATCTGATCAGCAAAATATTTTAGTGAACTATTTAGTCAGTGCTAATAGCCAAGCACTGCAAAGTGAGCAGTTGAATTTGTAGTGGGGGTGCTGGAGGCACATGAGCTTCACCACAGAAAGGGAAATACGGATATCCATCAGCTGAGAATAGTTTTGCATTCCTATTGCAGTGGTCTGTGGTCATATGGGGGAGCTATGAGCAATAGGCTCTGACATTCTGACCTCTGGACACTGAGGATTAACACTGATCATGGTATTGCACCTTCATTTAAAACTGGAATGAGGGACTAGTAAAAGTGAGTTCTGAATGTTTATGTACCAGTGAAGGCTCCTAACTTCCCACACAAACACAGTTTACAGCTGGCTATCCTCACCTTGCTAAAGCTCATGGGACTAGGATTATGTTGGGGTTTTCCTCTACTGTTCTATCAATTAATCAAATACTGTTCCACTTTAAAAAGAAATAAAAGCAAATCTGATACTATAAAAATTTCAAATACTATGATGCTTAAATTTGCATCAGAAACTTGTTTTGCCAAGCAGAATAGTTAGGACAGTTGTCTTGAGTTCCCCTTTCTGGGGGTATCAGTCACATCTGGATCCACGGTCTCAAAGAGGTGGAAGTGACTATGACCAGTTCCATCACAGGTGTAAGTGACAGAAGAGTCCACAGAGCTAAGGAGAACCATTAATTTACGTAACTGTTTGAGAATCGGTTGTCAAGATCTCTAGATTCCCTCTCCTCTCTTAGAACGAAGTCTGGTAGTTACAGGCAGCCAGGTGGAGAGAGATGGAGACACAGACACAGACACTCAGGCACACAAACACAGGTTCAGACAGGCTGTGGAACCTGTATCCACAACCTCTCAGCAGAAGCTTTTCCAGGAGTGAAAGCAGAGTGAGAAGTGCTGCAGGTACAGTATGCCTCTGTACCACTTCTCACTAGGGGAGTGGGAAAAAATGTCTGTACTGGGCAGCTCTGTAGATGTTTGTTTTGGCCACACGAAGGAAGACCAGAAAACTGAATGCAGTTTAATTTGCTTTTAAAGTATTGGTCATTACCATGTCTATAAGAGGCACCTGCCATAGGCCATCTCAGCATGTCCTTCAGCTCACTAAAGTGATAAAGCTGTAAGAAAGTCAGGAGAAAGTTTAGGGTACCTCCAAGTCAGGCACATCATGTGTGAAGCTGAGGTGGGCTTCTTGCCACGCAGGGATGCTTGAGTGGGGAGCAGTGTGCCTCCTCCCAAAGGCTTGGCTCAGCACATGCAAATGTTCTACAAATTCTCACATCATATCTTAGCCACATTTCTGACTCAGTCCTTGACGTACTCCCAGGGGCTGCAATAGCCCCTTTGCTGCAGGATAGATAGCAAAATGTGGTGTGCTAAGCCAGGTCAGCAGAAGGATGCTTTTCACCCTCTTTCTGCTGACAGAGCGGTGGAATACCTGGGCTGTGGCACGAACAGTTCTGCTGCTGCTGCTGCAGCAAATGAAGAAAAGAGTAAAGAAACGTTAGTACCACATTTAGCTTTATTGAAATTGAACAAATACCTTTTTTTAATAAACCCTTTTACAGCAAGTGTAAAATTTTAATGTTTGACTCATCTTATGTTACAGGTTGTCTTCTTCCGTGTAAGCAAAAATACCATCTTTTTTTTTTTCTTTTTTTTTTTCCTTTTTTTTTTTAATTTTTTACTTTAAAACACGTAGCAAGGATTTCAATAATGCAGATCCGGCACCAAAAGGTAACAGGTTCTGAAAATCACAGTACAGTTTTAAAATTCTTAGGTTAATTAATGATATTTAAAATGATAGCCACTTTGAGTAAAGATATAAATTAGAGGTCTGTAAACAAGTTGTGTTTACCTATAGAGCTATTGACTGCAGCTACAATGAGAACGGTAATAGAAACTCAATGCTAAACTGAGCTACACCTTTGAGGAAACAAGTTCTTACTAAGTAGTGTGGTACAGGGTAGCACAACAGGTAAAATACAGTTTGGCACCTCAAGTTGCATGTAAAATCAGCAGAAATAAAATAAAGTAAGTGCACTGTCTCCCAACAAAAATAAACCAGGCAGTTTCACTGGTTTTGGAGTGTCAACTATCAAATAAATCACACGACACACAAGTTCAACTTGGAAATTACAATTCTAGTAAAGCAAGATAATATTAAAATGCACACCCACAAGGATAGTAAAGTATAAATCTTTTTTTTGTTTGTTTGTTTTTTTTCTCCTCTCCCCTCTCAGTAGAAATAATTTACAACCCACAAAAGGACTCCTTGGTGAAACCACTACCTACAGACATGGTCATGGAATGTAGCTCAGTAGACTTGTTTCAAATAGAAAGGCAACATTATCCTGAAAAAGTTTGGTCCTCTTATAACTCACTGTACTGTAGCCACCACAGTCTCTTGGTAGATGTTTTAGGAGAATTGTTTGTTTTCTGATTCTCTTTTGTTCTGAAATATAATATCTTCATGATAAAGCTGGGTAAAATTTGGCCCCAATTACAGATGTCTGGTCAATGCTGAATCTGGAAGAACACACTGAAAGCACATAGGGGGAACCTCATTGACTGGTGTCACAGCATATTTTGTCATGCAATCACTTTTCCTTCTATACTTCTTTTCCTCTTTGCTATTTTTTTCTCCAGTGTTCTGGGGGAGTGGGAAAGAAATCCTTAGTCCAAATGACAGAAAGACATTTCACTGTTTATTTACATGTGGATCACTTTGGCTGAGAAGTCCTGGCAAACCAGAGTTGCTTATTTCTTGTGAATGTCCTCGTGCCGTATAATTTTGTATGTAATCCAGTAAAAGATGTTGAAAATGAGGAAGGCGAGTGGGAATGCAGCACGGGATATTGTATCAATCCTTTTTGCACGGTCAACAAACTTCTTTTTGATCGAATCTGAATCCTTTGGTGGTGCTGGAGGTGGGTTGGGTGGAGTAGCCTTGACTGCTGTGCCATCCTTGACTTGGAGGCAGTGACCCATGCCATAGCCACTGAAATTGAATCGACTGTCACGAGCAACTTCATCTTCCTGGGAGATAAAGAAGACAAATAAGACACACAATCACCTTTCTATTGAAGCATGCCATGTACTTGAGTATTTGAGGTGTACCCTCCAAAGCACCTCAGCAAATTAGCTGGTTAAGCTATGATACAAAGTCCAGGTTTCAAAGACAAGCAGTTAAAATTTGCGTAAAAATATGTGGAAATTAGGTGACTTCTAGTGTTTGTGAATCAGAGCTTTAATTTTCCTAGCTATGACTAAATCAAGTGCCCTGAACAGCAAGCTGTATCCCAGCCTCACAGGGAAGAGATCTGTCTCCACAGGTTTCTCATTGCTCTCCTTGGGCTTTCTGTGGGGAGGAAACATGGTCATGTTGGCATCAGGGAGTCTGTTGCAGTTTGAATGGAATGACCCAGTGATCCAGGGACCCAAGCTCATGGCAATGTGCTTCCATTGCTCAGCCTAACCACAACACTGTAGCTTCATCTCCAGTCTACAAAACAAGGAGGAGGAGTGCTCTGACAACTGATACTTCAAAGTGCACTGGGCACTCGGATTTAGTGGTAACTGGGAGTTGGGTGCAATAGTGTGAGCTAATGTAGCAGCATCTTGCAGAAATCCATTCTCTCTCATGTCTGAGTGGGTGAAATTTGTTTTTGGAGAGGTGAGTAACTACCATTGAACTTTATTGCTATGATAACTGTGTGATGAGGCTTGTGGTTGTGCTAGTAAATTCTCTCTGACGTTTCTCCTGTCTGATAGCACAATAATACACAAGTTAACAGTTGCTGGCAGCCCTCCATGAAGGATTCAAAATGAACAGACAAAGCAGCTCTATTCTTTTTCATTCCAGAGATGAATTGTAGGTTCAGCAGCTTGCCCTAGTTAAAGGCCCTCTCTTTGACCAACAGACACTTTGCTGTTGACTGAAAAGGACCACTTCTTGGGCTCACAAGGAGCCCACTCCCTCACAGGGAATAGTCCCTCATATCTCTTAATAAACCACAGCCTTCTGAACTTAAAAGACAATCAAAGACTGCAACAAAAAAAGCATCATGGCAGCAAGGTGTTGAATAAGGAGTATATTGGCTGAACTTGGGGTTAGGAAGGGAGGATAATTTGCACCTATTCAGGATGTAAATCACTGCTCCTTCACAGAAGCACCTTTTTCAATAATTGCATTTTTCTGTCTCCCCAGCTGCATCGTTGGAATTAAATATATCATCCAACTTGCTCTCCTTACCTTGGACCTGACATACAAACATGAATAACCAATACTGTGATCCAAGGCTACCAAATGAGAAATAGTCACTCTGACTGCTTATGGCATTGAATGGTTATGGAAGGAGGATAGGCAGTAAACAGTGCTTTGGAGCTCCTGCCACTTCAGTGCAAGGGTCTTTGAGCATTTATCCAGGGTTTATAAACTTTTTATTTCCAAAGCTCACCATCATGAAAAAAAGAATGGTCCTCTCCTCTTTTAATTTTATTTATTTGCATTTTGAAGTACCTCTGTGAAAACTCTGCTTGTCCTAGTGATTGTAAGTACATAAAGTATTTTGAAGATGAACCTATTGAGACCTAAGTTCTGCATAGCCTTATAGGCAATGCTTCTCTTGCATGACTTAGTAACACTACAAATCCCTCAATAGTACAGGGAGATGCCTTCCTCTCAGAGCTTTCCCTTTTACTGCGTTTGAAGGATAAAATGCAGGCCCAGGACATGAGAGGTGATTAAAAAGGGTAACAGATTTCCAGCAGCTGTGTTGCCATATGTACTTCATTCATTTTTTAAAAATTTAATTTCTGTTACTCCTGAGAGATCTGTGGGAAGAAAGAAAAAAAATGTGCTGAGCTCAATGCAGGCTTGGAGAGTCCTGACTTCCACTGTGCCCTGCTGGGTCACAGCTTTGTCACATGGGGTTGAGCAATTAATCTTCAATGTCACAGCCCTCCTTTTGAGCTTAGACTGTGGCAACTTGAGTGGGAAGACATCTGAGATTAGGGACAGGGATATTTAAGTCACATTCTTCCAGGTATTCAGCACCCAACCTTTAACCGTAAGGAGCCACTGATTTTCCAATGGGATTTAAAGTCCTGCTTTTCCCACCAGACAGTTGTCTGTGCCACTTCTTTCTCATAAAACCCAGAGACAAGCATGCCCAGTCCTCATGCTAGTTTTTTATTTAGGACTGCAGTAGATGCAGTTTACCCTGGATACAAGAGGTACAGCATTCACCTGGGGTATGAGGAGTACATGCTTGGTCTCCTTCTCTGCTTGAGCATATTTTAATCTCCTTCTCCCTGATAAATCTCTGGATCGGTTTGTTACCTGTTTTCCCAACATGGAGCTGTTTGCTGGGTGCAAAAAAATATGTGTTTATGTAGGGGTTTTTTTAACCTTTATCAGAAAAATCTTTTTCAAAGACTAAATAAGTAATTACGAGAATGGCATTGTGTTTTTACCTTGCCACTTGTTTCTGTGTTTGATATTACTCTCTTATCTGTGTTTGATAATACTCTCTTATACAAACACAGCACTGGAGACACCTAAGCTGTAGCTGTTGTGATCGTCAAGTGCCACCAGAAGCAAGGAAAGTCAGGGTCCTTACAGCCCCACCTCCATTCATGGAGATGCTGCAGCTCCATAAGCACCATGGGATTTTCAACAGTAAAATCCCTCAGGAGCTGAAGGGGCTTTGCAGTCTGGCACATGCTTGCACCCTGAGCACTGCCAGGTCTCACAGTCAAGACCTGACCTCATCAGAACTACTGAGGGGAGCTGGGGGTCAACCCAAGTGCTGGAACTTCATTATTCACTCTGTTTGTGGGCTAGGTTATTCTGCCATGGACCAAGCCGACAAGCTTTCTCTCAGGTGAACCTACTCCACCGTGGACTGATGCTATGAGTCATGTGGTGATACCTGGTCTCAGAAACAATAAAACCCCTCATGTGATTTACTTTAGCAGTAGGGATGTAGTTAAAAAAAGCTGTCTGTAAAACACAATAATCTTATGACAAAACTACCATTTGAAATTTCAGATAATCTTCTAACATCTTGTTACATATAAAGGATTTGGGGGAATAGTCACAGAGAAAGAAAACCAAATTTATATACTTTGACAAAGAGAACCGTTTTTTCAATCATGTTTTTCAATCAAAGCGTGAGATGAAAAACTCACTTCAAGTGCCTTTCCTTAAGTAGTGGATATGTCTTCCTTTAACCTAGAGGGTTGGTGAACTACTGGGCAACCTACCAAGGGTACCGTCTGGTGGTGTTGCAGAGTGACTTTTCATTCTCAAGGTCATTTTCAGTTCATATCATCTGACATATCTACCATGAAGACTCATCTAATGACAGTCTTCAGCCTGTGCTGTTCACTAGCTTAGTCAATGGCAAAATAGTCCCAATAACTTTTCAAACGTCTCTATCATTATTTTAATCAGATTACACCTAAAACTTATTAATTTTAAACTGGACAGGATCTACCTTACGAAAATCCCAGACTATTTGTGTATTTACAGATTTTAAAACCAAAATCAAAGAGCAGCTGGAAGCCACTGGACATCAACTGGAGTGGCAGAATCCACTGCCATTGAAGTCATTAACTTTATCATTCTAAAGGGATGTGAAGTTAGTGTTACATAATATGTAGTCATAGTTCCATTTGATTAAGGCATAGGGAAAGGGGTCAAAAGTTAGGATGAGAAACAGAAAAGAAAAAAATAGCAAGATGAAAGTGTTCTTTCAGATAGTTTTCTTTCAGATGTCCACACCCTGAGTATTGTAGAAGAATTAGCCTTTGAAAACTAAGTATATTTCCTGAGATTTGGGCAAATTCTTTCTACAGATGCTTTTTCAACAACATAGGTTTATGTGTATCATCTTACGATGTCATAATGAACAGGCTTTAAACAATTTTTATCAAACAAGATTTACATATTATCCTCAATTTTTAATTTCCCATTATGAATTTAATAATTTTCTGTGTTTCACAAAGTAATGGCCTTAGATTCTCGTGACGTAGCTTTACATGGAAACATGTAAATGGGGGGATAATGCTTCTGACATGGTTTTCTTTCTTCGTCTTTCATCTTTGTGAAACTTTTATTTCTACTCCATCAGGTCTAGAATGTATTTCATACTACCAGCTTCACACCAAAACAATCAGGAATGGGGAAAGGGCACTTTAGAAAATCTAGTTCATTCAATGCCTTCCATGCACAACTTTCTGTACAATGCATTCAGAAGTGCTTTGTCCTCACCACTTTTAAATGCCTATTGTCAGCATTGACTCAGTTTTAGCAATGAGGAAAATGAGAGACTGGCTTCAAACAGTGTATTTAATTTACTCTCTGATGTGATTTATTCTTTTAATTTTGCTACTCTTTTTCCAACAAACGGTGGAAAAACTATTTAAAAGACTATCTGGTTTAATTAAATTTCGAGGACAAGGATGATTAATTTTAGGTAAAGGATAGAGAACATCAGAGAAATTTTCCTTTTGGCATTCATAAGCACAAAGTTAGAAACTCACAATCAATTCAGACTTGAATGTAAAATGGAATCAATAGGAAACAGACACTAAAATATATTCGGAGATTTCATTCCTAAATCATCTTTATAACTTTGAGACATCTCCCATCTCTCAGTACTTTACATAATTCATGGTGTGGTTTTGCAGACTGTTGTGCTTACATGGTTTCAGTTCTCAGGAGTCACTGAGTATGCGGACAGAGGTAGTTCAGCTGAGAAGCATATTTGGACTTTCAAGTCCCCTTTGGGTCCTCACAGGAGCCTTTTAACAAGAGTTAACTGTCAGGAGACGAGAGGGAAGGTTCTTTCATAGATTAACTGTTTAAAAGGCAGTAATGGAGTTTGGTATTAAAAGACTGATTTCATAACTGAAGGATTTGCTGGAGGGAACCTCCAAGAATCTGTGCGAGAACCAATAAGAAGGAACTGATTTCTAAATGAGCTGGGAGAAAGGTTCCCAAGGGAGGTACACAAGTGAAACAGGATATT